TTCATTGAAGTATGGAGGCTTGTTGATGGACTAAGAATCAAGAACGAACTCGAAATTTGAAGTAGAGGCCATTGATGACTTTGGTAACGATTAAGCTCTTTTATGATCTTCTCAAGAGGTGGTAAAACCTTCAAATGAGTCAAGCTCTGATACCAATTTTTGAGTCAATCGATAGGATGAAATAGCCAAGAGGGGGTGAACTGACAATTAAAATTTTGTGTAAGCTTGAAAGAAAAATTGAAACAATTTGCACAGCGATTTAGAGTGGTTCGACTTTCTCAACCAAAGTCTACATCCTCTACCTTAGCTATCCACACTAAGAATTTCCACAAATTCACTAACTTATATCTACCTTTGAGGACAATGTGTAACCTTACAACTCCCTCAAGAATTATACTCAAATTCTTGAGATACTCTCTCAAAGAGAAAATTACAAATTTGCAAACTTATAAGAAACCTCACAATGAAAGATTGTTTGTACAATTTAAGAACAAATAAGAACACTTAAGAAATGAATACAAATAAGCACAAGTAGTGTTCTTAGAAAGCAAAATGAATATAGATGAATGTTGGTTTGATCTTGCTCAAACTTGATGTTTAAGGCTTTCTCAATTGATTTTCTTGACCATCAATGGCTTTAAAACTTGTTTTTATACTCCTCAGATCAATTCTAAACGTTTGAGATGTTGTGGGAGTCAATAAAGCCATTAGGATATGTTTTCCAGTCAAAATGGATGTTGGAAGCGTCTTGGTATCAGTACTCCACTAAGGGGTATCGATACTACCTGTTATAAATTCAAATAGTTTGATCGTTGGAGGCCAACGGTATCGATATCGTCCAAGGAGTATCGATACTACTATATATAGTAGTATTGATACTAGACCGTAGTATCGGTACCATTTTGAGATTCTATTAAAAGTTGAAGTCAAAACCAAATAAGTAGTATTGGTACTACATAGGTAGTATGAGTACTACTATAGTGTATGGTATCGTTACCGTGTGCATGGTATCGGTACCATTTTGACAATCTGTTAGCATGGTATCGATACTATTAAGGCAGTATCGGTACTACCATATTGAAATTGTGTTTTTGACTCGATTAAAGTTCGAAACACTTAGTAAAAATTATTTCAAAAATATTTTGTGTGAATATCAATTTTTCATTAAGTAAGGAGTAATAATTGACATTTTAAAACTTTGAGTAATATTTGTAATATTCGAATAATTAAATCAAATATAATCTTAAAATTTATAAAAATTAATTAACATATTTATTTGTTATATCGAAATATCAAATTGTTTTCAACAGTACTTCTATTATAATTTCAAACTTCTCAAAATATTCACTAAATTCTATAAATATTTATTTCCACTATCAACCCTTCAACTTGTGCTAATTACACAATCAAGCCACTAATTATGAATTCTTTCTAGAATTCATCTTAACTTTTCTAATAAATTCATAATGATCATTCACCATTATGATCATTGCACATTAATTACTAAAACTTCCAGCATCTTAATGAAATACTCAAATCCATACTTTACCATTCAAAAACTTACAATTTCATCTTAAACTTTCTTAGACTTTTAGAATTTAATCATCCATCTTTATAAACTTGCAATTTGGTCCCAACTCAATATTTGAACCCAAAAAAATAGCATACTAATAAAATTTCTAGTTGTGTAATATTTTACCCAAATGATACTTTCACATTTAATAAGCTTGCAACTAAGTCCCTAAAGTGTCAAAACCTTTCAAATTTCACCTTGAAATTTACCAAATTTGCAATTTGGTTCCAAACAACTTTCCAACTTAAAATTTCAGCATTGCATAATTAAAATTCAACATTGAACACCCCAATTATCACATTCTTGCTATAATGTCCCATAATTCTCAAAACTTGTAAATTAGCTCTTTTATTATATGAAGGTTCAAAATTGATCCAAATTGATCTCCAAATCACATAGAACACTTCTAATATCAATTATAAACCATAAAAAAGTTTTTAACATTTTGCCCCTGATTTTCCTTATGGTCAAACTTGCCTATACAACTATGACTTGATTTTCATTCAATTTCAAGCATGAATTCAACTTTTTACCTCAATTTCATGCTAAATTAATCATCACAACATCAAATTACATCAAAATTAAATAATTCTCCATAAACCCTAACTAGGCCAAACTCAAAATCACAAACCCTATATAAACCCTAATTTTCAAACTCTTTAAATAAACATGATCACCATGAAATATTTATACCAAATGATAGAGAATTTCATGTAGATTAATTCTCTATATAATAGCTTAATCCAAAAATCAATCAAATAAGCTTAAAAATAAACTTGAAAATTCTTACCTCTTTTTGCTATGATGCTCACGGTTTTGCTCAGGGAGTAGAGAGAAATTTTCAAGGTTTCTATCTTAATTAACAAATACACATGTCACAAATTAATATGATTGAATATAAAATTCAATTAATATAAAATTATCATTTTACCCTTAATGAAACATGATAATTTCAACTTGCCATTGCTTTATCATCCATTATAACATTCCAAAGTCAAAGATGAACAAATAAAAATTCACTTTTCATCTTTGCCCTTGCAAATTTTTGAAATTTTATTTTAGTCACTAAATTTCCACTGTTCAGCCAAATCTGAAATATTACACTAATATGTGCTAAATTTATCTGATCTAAAATAGGGAAATAATATTTCCAACCCTTATCTACCATCCTTAAAATTTTCATGAAATTACGATTCGTTCCAATTATCTGATTTCTATATCAAACTTTATCTCTTTGTAGCTTTTAACACAAATCCCATAACGAAAATCTGATTTCCAAGAAATTCTTGTTTTAGGCCAAATGATTCATTTATGGGGCTAAACTATATAACTTTCCAAAATTATTTTTTTGGTCCTTGAACTTTTACAAAGTTTATATTTTAGCCACCAAACTTTCAAAATTTACAATTTAATCACTAGTCAAAATTTGGGGTATTACAGGAATATGAGAAAATATTTTAATATCAATACCCTTATTTGGAGTATCGGTAATTATGTATTATGGTATTGATACCATCATAAGTACCGATACCAAAATTAATTACTGGAATCTGTAGTCTAAAAATGGTACCAATATCATACCCTTGGGTATTAATACCCTATGAATAAGGTATCGATACCACCAGCCAAAAACCCTTTGTTTTTTTACTATCTGGAGAACATTATAGGTATTGTTCATCCAATACCGATATCCAAATCTAGAAATGCTCTGTTTGAGCACGAAAATAACATCCCAACTTCACCCTATAAGTCCCTCTAAAGTTTTTAAATGTTATTTAAGTCTTATGTAAGCTTATAAGAGTCATATTAAGTGATTTTACATGTTGTATAACATCATAAACTAAAATTTACCATGAATGCTCTTACATGCTTCATGAACTCATGCAAGCCAACCAAAACATCTAAGGATCTATAGGTGATAGAGATTAGTTAGAAATATGTTACCTTGATTCCTAAGCTGCTCAAAATAATCAAGGTTCAACCAAGTGTTAGTTTTCCCTTTCTCTTGCTTTTAGAGCTTTCTCCAACTTCTCACTAGACAACGATCAAACACGTGAGTTACTAACTTGTTTGGGAGCTTAGAAATGTGTTAAGAACACTTCCTAAAGCTTCAATCTACCAAAAATGAGTTGTTTAGACATAGGTTTCTAAACCCTTACTAAAATCTCTCTTATGGCTTTCATGACAAAAAAAAAGTAGAAGAAAGGCTTGATTTGAAGTTCTAATGAAGAATATCACGATTCTTACCTTTAGAATCTCATATAAGGCTTGAAAAACACTAAAGTTAGCTTATTTTATCAAGATACAAGAAAAATTAGGGAGAGTTTGAATGAAGAAGAAGACAATGCTGATGAAAAAGAGATATAAAGCACTCTCAGTTTTTCTCCTTAACATATGACGTTGACATCACCCTCCATTAAGGAAATTCAGCCTTTGAATTCCTAAATGGTATAATCACCTCCTTGGTTCTTCAACCTTAGCCTCTAACTTAAAAACACCCACATTACCTCTAATTGGGCGCAACCTAAGCTTAAACCATCTCAAACTTGGACCAAGTTTTCTAACGGTTTTTTTGGCCCAATAGGGCAAGCTATTTTATTAATTAGCCCAATAGGGCATACACTAAGGTTATGTTCGGGTCGGATCTAGTTTGGGTTTAGGATAAAAAAAATACCCGACCCGACCCGAAAAAATTATAATTTTACCTTATATATTTAGGAATAATTGCAATAATATCCTTCTATATATTATTTTCTTTCAATCAAATCTCTATTTTTATTAAATAAAAATAATTTTTTTAATAAATATATTATTTTGGGTCGGATCGAGTTCAGATTTTATCTCAAAAAAATGGATCAGGTTCAAATCGGATGGATGGTGTATAATTTTCGGGTCGGGTGGACTGAAAATCCAACCCATGCCCATCCCTACAAGTGATCAATAATATTACTCCTATTATGTAAGAGAGATAATATTCTATTGATCAACCATAATGAAATGGACATTTGACTATATCAATCTTTATCGTACAACCAATTACAATAGACATTTGATTGTATCAAAATGTACGAATCACAGATTAAAACAACGATGATCTCAAGTAGTGGTTTATCATATACATAGGTGAAGATTATTTCAATTATATCCTTATAAAAATTACAATTGAATTTATCATATTATGATTTGATAATGTCATTGAAACTAGTATCTGGTACGATTGCAGAGCATCGAATATCGTTATAACAGTACGATTGAATCTCCTGTTTCAGTTCAATGTTGGTTGAACTTGTAACTTCGAATCATGCATGGATATACCATCTATAACCATATTTAATAGCTTAGAGGTATAAATATTTTGAAGCTAAGCATTCATCCACAAAATCGAAGAACATGAATGATATTTAGAAAAAGAAAACAGGGTATTGATGACAAAATGAAGCTATCCAACGTGAAAGCTACAGTGTTCCTATTATTGTAACTACAAGGTTATGATGATTAAAGAATCAAAGAAAACATGGCAGTCCCCTGTGCCAAAATGTTTGATAGAATACCTGCAATCCCGTTGATGATCATGGTGATTTATGCATGCTAATCCGATGTATCATAGGCTGCTAATCTTAGCCGATCAGTGCTCGAGGACCTCGTCATTGCTTTCGATCGACTTTCTCTAATGTTCATTACACTCACTTGTGCAGCCTTCCCATTTGATGACCCTGCATCGTTCTTGGCCTTCACACTACTGTTTTTTTTGGTGTGTAAGATTTTCTTCTCTGGAATCTTGGTGCTAATTGATCTCCTTTGTGGCGCTGGACTGAAATTGGCTGATCTTTTCTCGGGGATCTCAGAATACACCGGCTTTATGTCTGGACCGACCAATCTGACATCTGAAGCCACGGAATTTGCATCACTTAATGCTACCAAAGGATCCTCATTTATGCAAGTTGAGGCTGCTTCATCGCCCAACTCTACATTCTTATCCATGGTGTTCAAGATGATAGTCTTGTCTTTCTCAGCAAGCCTATAAGAAAACATTTGAAATGGGATTTGTGCCACTGATAATGAGTTGAAACTCTCATTGGCACTGAACTTTTTTAAGAACCATGACTCAATCTCGGTATAATCTGAGATCGGGAATCCGGTTTCAGGCCGATCATGGTCAGGGTTCATCACGAGGAATTTCTTGATGTACCTTAGAATCCGACAAATCGATGAGAAACTTGGACGTTGGTTCGGATCAGAGTGCCAACATCTTTTGGTTAGGTTGACAAGGTGTTTAGGTGCAGTGTAGGGAAACAAAGGCCTCTCCCCTGCTCTAATATTTCGACTCACCTTCTCCCCGTGAAGATGTCCATCTTCAAATGGGACTTTCCCAGTCAAAAGCTCAAAGCATAGCATCCCAAAGCTGTAAACATCAGCTTTCTCAGTGTACTTAAAACTGGTGGAATTCCCTGGCGACATTTGCTCTTGGTCTTGCAAAACTTCCGGTGCATACCAAATAAAAGTGTTGGTTTCATTCGGTTTCAACGAGGAGCTCAAAGACGAAGCAGTGGATTTAAGGGTGGATAAACCATAACCCGTGATTTTCAACTGCAAATAACCATCAGTGCCGTTCCTAGCTCTGAGAAAGATATTTGAAGGGTTCAAATCACCATGAAACATCTTCTGTGAATGAAGATATTCCATTCCTCTTGCAATCTGAAACATAAGATCAACCACGACAGGAAGACAGCAGGTTGTCTTCCTCCTGGAACCACTCACGTAATAACTTAGATCCTTGTTCATCGGCTCTTGGACGAGCAAAACTTCTCGCTTCTCGTCGTCATAGAACCCGCAAAGGTACTGCAATATGTTGGGATGTGAGAGTGAGAGAAGGGTTGAGATTTCTGAGCATGAAGTCTCACCATCCCCATTGAAGTTTCTCAATACAAAGTTATCTCCCAACCATTGGATTTCCTTGTAATGTCCCCCTAAACGTCGCCTAACTTGGTAATCCCCTCCATACAAGATGGAACTTGGGAAAAGTTTACCATTGAAATCCTCTGATCCAATGATTTTCTTGATCAACAAGTCAGCCACACGCTGCTGGGATTTTGTTGCAGATTCTGATCTACTCTTCTCCCTTAGAACTTCAACAAGATTCCATCTATCTTCTCTCCAAGCACTCTCGAGCCGAGTACAAATCTCTCGAGGGATCAAGTACTGCTTCCCAAATTGGAACTGAAAAAGTTTGGGGTCGATCCATTCCTTGTCGTACTTCCTAGACAGTGTGATTTGCCGTCTTTGCATCTCGCTCCAATCGAACCCCGCTATCTCTCCGGCCGTCTCGATGGCCTCGATGACAATGGGGAAGTAACAAAGCAAATTGTGGATGTGGTTCTCAACGCAATCCTTGTTTTGGTGGAGGTTGATTGCCTTCAGGCACCAGTCTTTTTTGTCCATACATTGTTTGACATAAAGTTCACCATCTTTGAAAATCCTTTGAAGTTCCTTCAATGGATATTCAAGAGCATTCCACTTTGTGTTGTTTTCGTCTAGTTTCAGGTTCAACTTGATCTCCTCGGCAATCGTGTTGAAAGCCAAACTGAAAATGTCGAACAATAAACAGCACTGGCGTTGATTGATTTGCAGATCATCTTGTAAAACCATAAGAGCTCTGATGCTTCCCAAAACCTCACCAACCTGCCTGAATTGCTCCATTTGAAGTCTAAAAAAAAAAAATCAAAGGGTGCTGCCAAATCCTGGAGATAAAACCCCAGAATCAACAGCTCCCAAATCCCAGGCCTGCACGTGTAATTTTGTAAAGAGAAAACTGGTTATCTAATCAGAACATACTATTGGGAACATTCCAGAAAATAAAAACTGAAACTTTAATGGAAATTAAATGTTTGAAACTATATACCAATCAGTGACAAGGCTGTCCTTCCTATGCCAAAAGAAGTGGGATTTTGCCTTCAAAACCCAGAAATTTTGATCTGATCAAGAAAACATTCCATGGAAGAGAAGGTAAACAATACAAAATGAAAACGAAAATGATGTGCCAACAAAAATGAAAAGAAAGCTGACCATATCAACAGTCCATGGCATTCAATATCTGTCAAACTGCACCTGAGAGGGAGAACCCTGATTCTTTTGTGGTGGAGGATATGAATTTTGGGGGATTATAGGAAGAATCTCAGGTAGGTAACGTAAAGCATCAAACCAAAAGGCTGGAATGTCTCAAAAACAAAGCAATTTGTAACAAAGATAACTGAAACAGAAAATAAAAGACATGTTTTTCCTCCAGAGTCAACTTAAAAGGCTTTTTTAGAATACATATGAATCTGCTCCGCCATTTTCGTCTTTTCCCATGCTTTTGTTACTATCTTCAACGGTTTCCTGGAAAAATAGGACTCTACGACGTCGTTTCTTAAGGATTTTACTTGTCGTCAACTCTTTTATGCAGTATGCAATTGCAAGACATATATATAATATAGTGTGATCTGCTGTTTAAAAATATATATTTGAATGAAAATTAAATATATTACAATTTTTCAAAATTTAATAGTGAAAATTAATGACTTACAAAAAAATGTGGAATTAAATGATGTCAATTATTGTTAGTATTTACTTTCGATTTATGAGCATGAAGATTCAATCAATTGAAAGATATAATTGCGTAACGCATCCCTAAACTATATCATCTTCATTTCAATTGGTTCTTAAACTTTTAAAATTTACAATTTAATCCTTAAATTGTGACTCTCAATTTAAATTAATTCTCAAACTTTTAAACATTTCAATTTTATCCTTTAACTATGACCGTCGTTCTAAATTAATCTCAATTTTTTGTAGAATTAATAACTGGAAGACATGACAGTGAGTTAAAGTGTCTGCAGAGGATTCAATGAAAGATTAGAGTGATTGTGGAGGATACAATGAATGACTTGAATGACTGTGAAAAATATTATGGTCTGTATGAAACTGTTAATGAAACTCTTAAGGATATAGCAGATAAATTCATTTATTATACTTACAAAAGGATAAAAAAAATAATGAAACTACATTATCCCTTTATATATAACTTTACAATTAGTCTAACCGTTCTATCTGACTGGAACTAATTATCGTGACGAATTAACTAATTAACACTTTTGAATCTTTTAATTTTATCACCAAATTCATCTAAATATGTACATGGTTTCAACTATAGTTTAACATATTTTTTCAAGCATACAATAATATAGTTTGGCCTAACTGCATACAATAATATAGTTTGGCCTAACAATTTTATTAGTAGGGTATATGATTAGCATATACCGATAGTTTGGGATGAAATTAAAATGTTCACAAGTACATGGATCAATTTAGAATGAGGATCATAGTTTGAAGATGAAATTGAAATGTTCAAATTTTTTAAGATTGATTTAGAATAAGAGTAATGATTTAGAGATGAAATTGAAATATCCAAAAATTTAAATATTAATATAAAATAAAAAAAATAGTTTGAAAACGTATGTTGTAATTAACCATAATTAAAATTAGAATCCTTTTTGCAAGCATGAAGGCTTGAAAGATACTTTGAACCTTTACGTTTTGGAACGTCATAATTGGAGTTAATATACAATCAAAAGGAATCATAGAGTCCTCCTTTTGGAATATTTACCATCTTCATGGCATCAAAGTCAACACCAAGAATTAAAGACAAAAGGAGCACTAATTAAGGAATGAGTCTTAACTTTGCATCAATAATTAATTGAAATTGGATTTTAATATTACAAATGGAATAATTTGAATGAAATTTAATATTATAAACATCTAAAAATAGTTATTTTATTAAATATTATAAATATTTTTTTATTAAACTAAGACGATTACAAAGTAGTGTCTGTTATAAATACTTTAAAAAAAATTAACTGACTCTATTTCCATATGTAATGAGGTAAGGGGGAGGTAGGGTAGTAAGTTACCCCTAACACCAGGTTGAGAGCAATTTTCGTGGAAGACTTCCGTTATGAATTGCCCTTAGTGGGACTCGATCTCACGACCACAAGGTTAAGAGCCTTGTGCTCTACCAATTGAGCTAAACGGGCAATTTTTTTGAATAGACATTTGAGAATAGACACTTAATCATCATGTTATAGTTGTTGGTGTTTGGACCCGTGATTTCTAAGAATAACACCAATTATTTTAACTATTAAAAAAAATTAATTTGTACATATAAATATTCTTTTTATCATTTTGTCTTATATCATTTACAATATGAATAATCGATTGGATTATCTCATACTACAAAATGTGCTAAATGTTACACATCAGCAGCTTATAGTATGCTGGAAATTTGAGTGGGAAATAAGAACGCCACGTGGCAGTTAAATACACTGGAGCCGGCGCGGCTAACGTCTTTAGGTTTTGGCTCGACATGCTTAAGCAGCTAACTCAACCAAAGGACGGGGAAATGATAACGTATGACAGTAGAGTTAAAAAAATATTATCAGTTTTGTTATTATTTTTTAATAAAATAGATAAAAAAAAGTATTAAAAATATTATTATTTTTATTAGTTTTGTTGTTATTATTGGGTACTTTATCGGTTTTATTAATAAATTCAATAAAATGTTATCGATTTTATTATTTTTTTATCAATTTTTTTATTATTGGGCACTTTACTAAAAATGTTAAAAAATATTAATATTTTAGATAAAAATAATAATATTTTAGATAATTTTTATAAATTTTAATAAAAATATAATAACAAAACTTATAACAATTTTCTTTAACTATATATTTAAAAGTTTCATACTGTAAAACTTTCCCAAAGGACTTGGTCAGTATTAATGACCGTAAAAATAAGATTTGTTGGTATTAAATAAAGGAAAATCATTACATAATGATGTGGTTTAGCTCATTTTTTTTAACTCAAGGCTTTACTTTTCTTATTGTATTATACTATTATATAAAGTTAAACAAGCAAATGAGCTTTAAAACATTCAATTTATGTCAATAATTTATAGAGTAATGATTAAAATATTTTAAGTTGGCAACTCTTTTTTCTCTTAAATCATGAGTTCAATATTCTTTCGGAGTTCTTTTCTCCCCCTCTACGTAGGAATTGTTTAGAAAAAAACATTTCATTTATAGTATTGTTCCCCCTCGTACAGTTTAAATGAGTTTAAGATTATATTTTATCATATATTAATTAGCAGGTTAATATCCAGTTCAGAAAATTGTCAATTTTTTAACGGAAAATGACGAATTTGAAAAATATAAATAATCAAGTAAGTATTAACAATCGAAGGCTCAACAAAACATTGTCTTATAGTCAGAGGATTATTTCACAACTTTTGATAGTTAAAGGACTCAACAAAACAACGTCTTATAATCAAGGAAATATTTTTGTAATTTATCCAAAAAAAATTATTTATACTTTCAATATTTTAGTGTCTTGATAATTGATAGAAAATATGAGAAAAATAAATATATTTCTTTTTTCTTATTTTTGGATAAGAATAGAAAAAACTAATACTTTGACTGATCTTCAATTTTATGAAATTGATATTGAAGTTTGACACAGACCCATGTTTTATAAATATTTTTATATATTGTTTAATTTTTTTTGGTACAAAAAAAGTTTAGGTCAGGGGTGGCTCCCCAATCCAATGTCAAGGCATACCTAAGATTCAATTGGGATTTACATAGGACTTTACAAATTGCTTACCAAGAGTGACGGTAATAGAATTCGAACTTGACCTTACACGCTTAAAATCATGAATCCAACGACTTGTGCAAACACTTGTTGGCTTGTATATCGTTTAATTCACTCATATTATTCTCCTTCATAAATTGAAGAATATCATACACTTAAATATATTTAAATCCATATTCTCTTATATATTATAACAATATCAATTAGATTGATTTAGACAACATTTATAAATGCTAATGTGAATATTTATACTTAAGGGTAAAGTTAAACAATATCATTAAATTATCTCAAAATAAATTTTATGTAATAAATTTTTTAAAAATTATAAAATTCAAATGTTCTTTAATCAATATAAAATACATATGTAACTTCAATTCTTAATTTTGGTAATAAATTTCTTCTTTTAAATTTTGAAATGACAAAATTCCTAACAAAAAAAAATTATATATAAAATATCAATATATCATATTTTCTATATTTAATATGTATGCTCAAAGTACCAAAATAAAATGTAATTACAATTGGGGATCAAATGAGATATATATTAATTTATCTATTTAATATGTTAAATTATCAGTTTTGATATGTTTTAATACATAAACTTTCAATTTTTTTAAAACCATACATAACATTTAGTTTTTTTTTATTTTAGTATCCCGTTAAGAACTTGACGGTAAGTTTTAAACAAATTAAAAGTTTAGGTACTAAATGTGTTAAGTTTTTAACAAAGGGGTATTAAAATAAAACAAAAACAAAATATTAGAAGTGATTTTGAAAAAAATTAAAAGTTTAGATATCAAAACTGATAGTTTATATACTAAACACTTAGTTTACCCTAATTTTAATGTGTTATATTATCTCTTAATCGTAACTAACGATAGTTAACGACATGGCACCCATTTTGTACCAAAACCATATCTATTTTATAATTTTTGAAAACTCAATACCTAGAACAATATTTTAAGACAACTTAGTGACCAAAATTAAACTTACCCACGCTGTAGTTTTGATTATCAAAATTCAATCAATATATTGTGTTGGAAGGTGAGTTTAATGAGATGGTTGCTTTATGTGAAAGCAAATACTATAATTACCGAATGCGTTGTTAATTCTCTTTCAAATGTCATTATCAATCTTCCATTCCGCACGCTCTCTGTTTGACATGCTTGTGTTGATTGATTGAATTGGGTTTTATTCGTTTTCCGAGTAATCAAAGCTGTGAAAAGGAGCCATTTGGTGAATGGAACTGTCAGTAGGTTAAAATTAGGAAAGGAACTAGGGAGATAACTTTCTGCAAATTTGGGGTTCAGAACTTTGGTTCAAATTTTGCATCAGCTAGGAAAGTTAAGCAAATCGGGGGGCTTCATAATGCTAGAGTTGAGGAAATTGGGAAAAGGAGGACTTTCATTTAATCCTAGTAATACAATACAACTCCCATCAAAGTTTTAAATTATCAATATATATATATATATATATTTTAAATTATTTTTTTCATTGGTAATATATTTTCACATTTAAAAGTTCATCTCTTATCATAAATCATGCATTTGTCCTTGCTTAATAGGGCTTCACCAAACTTGACCTACTACAAATATACAAAAGTATTATTATTGCACGAATCACGTTGCCTC